AATAATAATAATAATGAATAAAATACTAGTCAGTAGTCAATGGGGCAATCGTGCGGGAGCGAGTTATACATGTTTGTGCTTAAAACTGAATGCGTAAGATACGTATAATCTTTATTTTTCAAACATTTTCTCTAAGTATCAATATTTGGCAATCGTCAGATGATTACAAATATTAATCAAGTATTTTTTTACATAGGCCTATGTATATACTCTATACATGTATGCCTTTATTTAAACAGTGCACATATCCGAAAGTCGAATAAATTGATGAAATTGAATTTCACTTTGTTAATACATAGAATCTTTTTACATTCTATTTCGTGTAAGATTCTGTTTAGATTATGTTACGTGCATCTTAGTTTTGACATTTCACTCTTTAGGGTTTTTTAGAAATGTTTGCAGGACTTGGTCACGTCTTGGGCCCCCTGGTCGGTGGCGGCCTCTATCAGGTGGCAGGGTTTGGCCTGCCGTTCTTCGTGACAGGACCAATGTCCATTGTCATAGCAGCTGTGGCTTTTTTTACCTTACCAAGCGATAAAGAAGAGGAAGGTAACTTGTCACAGCAATATTTGCTGTCGTGTAATGGGAAATTTCCGCCGGTTATAATTGAAAGCGCTGTTTGGGTACCTGAAATTACGGTCACATATTTATTAAGTTTTAAGCAGACTTTTAAATGCACATACAGAGGTATACCTTGGGCAGCAAAGAATCCAAATGACCAATTTGTTGATGAAGTCGAAGGCACAAGGCAAGAAATGCCATACATTTCACTGACCATAGGTGATAATTGCATTAGAGAAAAACAACTCGAGGATTTTGTGAAAACAGTCAAAATAAATCGCAAGAAACAGGAGAAAACAGGGAATATACTGGACCGCGTCACAGAATTAAGACGCGTTGAAAACCTTAGAAATGTTAAAGTGTTGACAGGGTTAGAGACAGTTTAACGGGCATAATCGCGCCTTCAACAGTCAGCGGGAAGCCTGAAGATGGCATGGGGTTATAGTCAGTGTAATTCAAGGGTAATCAATTCAACCATAACGTGTTCCCTCATATTTATCACTTTCAAATGCTTTCTTGAAGTTTGTCATTTTATTTCATATAAGCTGTTCAACCTTTTATTCCCAGAAATGCCGTCAGACTATGGACAGCTCATTAAATTAGCAAAGATACCCGCCATACCTCTGGAACACCTAGCAGTTTGGGTAGGATTTGTTGGACTAAGTGCTTTAAGTCCCACTCTAGGAGGTCATTTACAGAACGTAAGCTTTTTAATTACAAAGTCATCGAAATTTAATTTTCATAAAACTTCCTATATTATTGTGACAAAAGAGAAACGAAAGTTTTCTGCGAAAAATATTTTCGTCTCCACTTTGCTTATTTTATGAATTATTTTCAACTTTATGACACCTAGGTCATGAATATTGTATAAATATTGCATTTGCAGGTAGATGCATCTGTCCAAGGTAACCATATAATGATCGGCCTGGCGTTTGCTCTGTGTGGGATCTTTTACACGTTCTCAGTACCTTTGTTTGGCTGTATAACAGACAAATGCGTAAGTTGCTGTATATTCCTTTATTTCATTATCTATATTTTTCTCTGTATTCTTTACATCATATAGTTGTACATCTGTTTGGCCAAAGCCACATAAAATTGTACCTGACATCTTTTTTCAAATAAAGTTAGACCGAAACAGACAATTGCAAATAAGTAAATAAAGTGTTTCATTTAAATTTGCTTATCACAGATTCCATTTTGGTAAAAAAAAGACGAACATTCTGGGGAATTTTATGATGTTTGCAGTTTCTGAAACAGTTACCTGGTGTGGACAGAAATGTCACCACGATAATAAACCGATGGTTTTCTAAATTACAATGATCTGCTATACTACATGTACACTATGCAATGCTATGCCATGCCAAGCCATGCCAAGCCATGCTAAACCGTACTATACCATACCATAACATTAAGCCTCGGTCACAACCGGCAGTACGGGCTCTTACGGCCTGTTTGCGTCCAAATTTTGCGCAGAATCTCACGTGCCGCGCAAGTTCTTCTTGCGAAAATTGGAATAATTTTCACCACCGCAGCATTTAGAAACATTGCAATGGTGCCTTAAGTTTAAATTTTTCTATTATATAACAACTCGTTAAAATTGGGTATGTGAGTAGCACAACACGGAGTTACCTAGCGTAACCATTGAAACACTCAACACCAACAATTTTAATTTGCGGTTCCAAGTAGGGAGCGATATATTTTTCCCTCGCTACCGACACAGGAGGGTGCTTCGACTCGCCGAATTGCCAGAAGGCTGGGTTGTTCCATGAAAAACATACAGAAGGTTGGGCAACATTATCCCCAAACAGGCACATGTCGGTAAGGCCGACCGAAGAAAATCACATCCAGAGAAGAGAGAATATTAATGCGTTTTTCTCGAAGAAAACGTTTCGTGAAATTTAGGAAGTCGACTGCAACATCTAACATGCTTAGCGGAGCGAAACAATTTGAATCTTTAGTAAAAAATTGCAACCCGTTTTTCTTTATAGAATCACAGGAAGGTGATTATAGTCTTGGGACTCATCGTGACAGCTTTATCCTTAACTCTCATTGGACCCTGGGTGCCCTTGACTGATCTATTTCCAAACGACAAGGGGTAGGTATCAATGTCATTAATTTTAATTCATGACAAGGTCAAGTTTTGATTGAAATATACTGTTGCCAGGTGAAAATATTGCTTATCGACTTAGTTAATCGACGTTTTTCTTAAATGTAGG